ACTGTAGACTGTAGGTTAAAATAATTACGAAGCACGAATCGATACATATTTCGATACATGCAATTGTTTACAATAGAAATTTACAACTGAGCTGACAACAGGTGATTTTTACTCCATAGAGGATAAAACCCATTTTTACTTCCTAAAGAGTAAAAGTGTTACTTTAGACCCGCAACGCATGCATTAAAAACGACTGGTATTACTGCAGTATGACCAAAACAATATAATATAAACCCTTGATGACTCCGCTCAATTTTGTGGATGCCTCTGCGAACGCCACCTAGTAATTTTGCATATTATAGAACCAACTTTTTTAGTTGAAACAGCTGACTAAATTCTTTAATTCCCTTTAAATATGAATACTCATAAGGTTAACATGGGGAACTACAGAGCCACTAGGGCGGAGCCCGAAAGGACTTTTGAGATAAGAATATGCCTATATGTTAATCGGGAATATGAGCTATCATCATGCCAAATTTCAGCCCAATCCGTCCCAAACAAACAAACAAACAAACAAATAAACACACAAACTTTCACATTTATAATATTAGTAAGATTCAGACAATCCAGAGGCCATTCCATCGTGAAATAAATCATTGGCAACTTTTTGATTGTAGGAGAGCACTAGCTATAACCCCTCAGCTGCCCGGTTATGATTTTTTACACATTTTTATGAAAACTAGAACTTTCAGAAGACTCTTGCCTTATTTTTCATTGATTTTACATCTCTTTCCTCTTAGATACAAAAAAGATTCAACCAAGAAAAAGGTCTTTTGACTACACTACTGTGAAAAGACCTGTTTTTGTTGCATGTTTATCACCTGCGAACATCCATCATTACATTGTTTACTACGGAAAAAGAATGTTTACTGTGCAAAAGTAAGGTTAACTATCTTTTTTGGATTTTGCCGGCGTAAACAAAGATTTGTTATTGGTTTGTCAACTATTTCAATTTACAGCAACCAAAACTATACAACCAAAGTAAATATTAACTTTAAATTGAAGGCATGACCTAAAATAAAGAAATATCCAATGTCCGTTTTAATTCCGAAAATAATATTAGTCTTTGTAGTGTAGCGAAAAGTATTGTTCACAACACTAGTTAAAGTTAGTCATAACATATTCTCGTCTATTTAATGGTATCAAATATGTAATGACTCACTTCCTACTCTTGTTAAGAAATATACTATTACATACCTACATATTAAAACTGTTGAGTTACCATTATAGAACAAATCTACTAGAAAAAATACTGCATTATAATTTGTTATTAATTATCTTCATAATCATTCTGTCTTTCTTTTTTCAGTGTTATAAAGACAGCGACTGCAAAAGCAACGAGATTTGTGAATCAGGAAAATGCAAAGAGAACTATTGCAAAGATGTATATTGCCGCTACGGTTACGAGTGTTACATAAAAAAGGATCAATGCAAGAAAGCCCCGTGTCCTCCACCAGTCGCTGCATGTCAACTAGACCAAGTTGGTTGTTTTCTATGATTCTAGTAAACATGTAAAGCTTAGTTTGTAATTTGTAGGAGTTCAAAGAATTCTTTGAGTACATAAAAGCAAAAGGCAGCACACCTTGCAACCTTCTTCCTAGGCTTAATTTTGGTATATTTGTGGATCTTGTTGATTTAAACTCATAAAGATGATGGTAGGTGATCCTTAATTTCTATAAATAAAGCATTTTTTAAGAGGAACTGGATACATATTGTGTACGTAGTTTAACATTTTTCACCTCACAGAAGACTCTTTTCCCAGAAATGCGGTGAATATACTTCTTGCAAGTCTCACGAAGTGTGCGACCGCTCAACAAGCAAGTGTATCGAAAACCCGTGCAACTACGCCAAGTGTGGCCCAGGCAAAGAGTGCCGAGTGAACTACGTCCAGTGCTTCAAGGCCCCGTGTCCGCCACTGGCCCAGTGCGTTCCTAAACCTGGCTCATGTGATGGAGTGAAATGTGATGAAGGCAGTCATTGTGAGAATGGATATTGTGTGTTGGACAAGGCATGCGCTGCCGTATTGTGTCCCACTGGCTCTTACTGCTACAAGGGAAAGTGCTTCAAGGTAAAATACATTTGGGGAAGATATGTTAGAGGTTGAAAAGGGACGATTCTTTAGCAAACCGTAGAGTATTAAGAGAAGAAAATTCAGACACTTACACCAGTGAGTGATTACTCCTCGTTAATGAAAATTTTGTATAAAAAACAACATATTAAGCTTTTTTACCTAGTCAATTGCAATTGTCTTAAAAGTAGCTTTTGAGCCCGATTGGAATCTATCGTGTCAATGGTTCAAAAAGAGAGAGTCAATCATCCTTTTGCAGCACAAATCAAATTAAGTGTTCCGACCAGTTCATCTTCAAGCTTTCCACTTTAGCATCTTGTACAAACCTCAATACATTTTAAAAGAATTTTGAATCTTGAAACAATTAGGCCGAGCGGTTAAAGCACTCACATTAAAGGCTTTCGTTTTGAACCTATGCAAAATTGTCTCTTTACCCAAAATTAATTTGTCATTAGATGTTATCTAACAAATTTTCGACGTTAGATTCTGACAAGATCAACGTTTCGACTGTTCCCTTGAGAAAAACTTAAAAATGAAACCGAAAAATACTCATTTTAAAATTTGTTTTGATGTTGCAGGAAGTTAAGTGCCGAAAAGGCGAGTGTGGACCGGCCCAGAAGTGCTACGAAGGCAGTGAGTCCTGCAAAAAACCTCATTGCCCTACAAAGAGGATCTGCGTAACAGACAGGTGTCCTCATGTGAAATGTGCCAGTGGAACTCATTGTGTTGATGGAAAGTGTGTGCCTCGTCACTCTTGCCTGTAAAACTTGTGTAGTTACACCAACCTAGAAAATATATTTAGACTGCAGTGAATTTATTTATGAAAATAAATATTTTCAATCATATATTTTGTTTTTATGTGTGTATTCATCCTTACTTACTCTCTTATTCTTACTCCCATGGCCATGGATACCTTAGGTGGTATTTGGCCTCGCCAACAAGTTGCCTCCATCTTCTCCTGTTCTCTGAATCTTCTTTCATTGCTCTCAATCTTTGCAAATCTTTCCCCACCTGGTCCTTCCATCGATTCTTGGGTCTTCCTCAGGGTCTTCTTCCTGCTGGGTTTTGTCTCCAAACTTCTTTTAATAGTCTGCCATCTTCCCTCCTCACATGGCCAGCCGACCTTAGTCTTCTGCTCTTTGCTTCTTCTACTATGTCTGGGAAATGGTACATGTCCCTTATTTTTTGGTTGTGCCTAATTCTCCATCCTTCTCACTCTCTAACAGGTCCAAATATTATCCATCCTACAAGTATCAAATTTATCACAGCCTCAGTAGTCTGGCTTTAATCGTTCTAAAATTGTCACTACTTCGTACCAGAGTTCTACTGAATGTTGTAATTTCTGTTTACCATAGGTACCGGTACTGTACGTCTTACATCTTTAGTGAGCCTTGATGTTATTTTAAAGAAAAAAGTGTTTAATGTATGTGACCGAAATGACTTAATGTGAAGTAAATATAACAAAGTTGTATCTGCATAAGCATAAATAATAAATTGACGATTCTATTACATTCTAGAAGGGTAGGCTCTCTAGCCTAAAATTGTTTTACACATTACTTCAGGATAGACCTAAAGGGTCGTGGTATTACCATACAAATAAAATCCATTGGCAGGATTTGAACCCTGGATCTCAGGGACCAAAGTTCCACACAATACCAGACCAGCCAGACAACCAGACAATACCAGACCCAAGGGTGAAAGATAAAGATAATGAAAGCAGGTGTATGCAACCGTCAAACATGTAATTACTGTCGGGACCACGTAAGTTTGCAGTTGGTGGCAGCCAATCACAAGACAAGGCTAGTGCAACGTTGCCACATCGCACTAATAAAATATACTAAGCAATATTTTCAAATCAGCTGGTATTATTAGATTTGGCAACACCGCATGGTTCTCATTGGTTCATTCAAACCCATATGGTAAATAGGCTCCTCCCTCAACTGCAAACTTATGTGGCCCCGACAATAGTGTTAAATTCTAAATCTAAGGTAATTTCTAATTTTTTAATTCTAAGTTAATTTTTTAATTTCTCTCTAGGGACATCAAAATGAAAAAGTATATCGGTCCCGGCTCAAGGTTTTACCGTGCCACCTACGGTAATAGCTACTTCCTATAGGGAAATTTACTAATAAACCCATTAACTTTATTTCCTTTTTGATATTAGCCTCCGGATTACGTTGAATATATGATATATAGAATATCAAAGTACCGGTAATTCAAATATTTGCAAAGACCTAACTAGTTTCGACTTCACAAAGTCATCTTCAGGTGTCCAGGGGATGTCAAAATCACTTCATCAGAAGCTTTTCAATACACATATTGTATATTTACAACAAAGTTACGAAAAAAAAGGTACATTTACTGTACAACTGAAAGACGAATAAAAATGGTAACAAGGGTTAGGGATGACTCGTCACGACTGGATGGGTAGCGTCTAGACATTACATACATCCGGTCATTACACAGGTATTTACACCAATCTATATATTACCTTTATGTGGTCACAAACTAAATGTTTATTTAACCAAAGGGATGTTATATTTATTTAAATTGTTACAAAGTTTAATTCATTTACCTAGTATAATACAGAACGCAGCGCTAATTTGGTTTATTCTCGGAATGTATAATTTACTAGAGTAAACACCTAATGTCCATTTATCTGACAGAAAGGATAAGTCTATACTGGAACAATCAAAACACATAAACTAAAATGGATTGTTTTATCAAGCAAATCTCGAAACGAACCAAACAACTTAAATCAACACCAATCAGCATTTCTAGATGCTCAAAGTTCATACATATCAACTAGCATTTCTGTGAAGTACACTGGGGAAATTAGCATTCTAATCAGTAACACTGATAATTTGTGAAACCTGTTTCCAAAACAGTTATACAGAGAGTTGAGAGCACGTTTTGGTAGCAGGAAAGTACGGTGATGTATATAGTCAAGGTCGGTAATACCAGGTTTGTTTCTCATTTGGTGTTCACTAGTTGATTAGGATGGTTCAATCCTGGGTACTCTTACCATTGGCTTTAGCTGTGTTTATTTCTTCTCAGATTCAAACTGCATCAGCGAATAAAACAGTGGTAATTATAATTCCATTTGGATTATTATTTAGTTTTATTTAGTTTATCTAATCAAAGCTATGTCATATTAATAAAATCTTTTTGTGGTTTTAGTAATATTTCAACCCCTATCAATACAGTTTTCTTGTTGTGTCCTGCTTCTTAAACAATAGGCCTAGTTTGTCTATTTAAATTATAAACATTTATTCATCCTCCGCAGATTTTAAGGTTCTCTTTAGGAAATAACAATAAAACTGTCAGTAAAAGTAGAACACAAAATTTTGATAGTAAAACATCAATTTATATTTATTGTCAAAATACTTTTATATTGCTTGGCAAGTCATTCTAAACCTATTCAAAAATTCTTTTTTTATAAATTTAGATAATCATATCTTGCATGAAACTTGTAACAGAGTCAGGTTTATCTTAGGTGTCAGAAATCGATGTTCCGAGTGTAGATTAAAGGTTATATTTTATCCGTAAATACTCTCAAATTTTTACTGAGTGTAAATAATAAATATACAAAGCATTCAAGAAGTTACCAAGTCCCAAAGTTATTTGCTAACACAACATTAACGTAAAACATGAAAACATAAAAGGTGCTGAAGTTAAAACTCGAACAATGGTTTATGTCTCATTACAGACACATTTATCTTGGAAAACTAGTGTAAACTGTTCTCTTTAACGGTGTTTATATGATTTTTAGTCTTGCAACCGTCGTTTGTTCAAATGAACTGTTAAAGTTACTGTTTTGTTAGCGGGAGAACCGTGATGGTGTACAAACAATGGTTTTACGTTTGTTAAATAATTCTACATAAGTTTCATCACTGTTAAAGAAGCTGAAATGCTAAATATTTTTGCGCTACTGTCTCAACAGAATTAAGGAAAAGCGATAGACGATAAATCAAGATTAGGTATGGCACAATTTCCAACTGCAAAAGCTAATGATGCATTTATAAAGAAGTGAACATGTGTTCAGAGAATAGGCATTCGTTAAACATTTGTTCTTGTTTATTTGCAAATCTGTCTATAAAGGTGAGGGTTCTAAAGAACATGATAATCGTAAAGTCTAAGGAACAATATTGTGATAAACTCTCAACTTCGGCAAATACAGCATATTTTATGTCCTATCCCTGTCGACAATGTTTTACCTGTTCTCTTCTGTTTTAATATCTTACCAAGAAATAAGACAAATTATAACTTAATAGCACCATCCTCCTTTACCACCAAGAGATGAGGAATAATTTAAAAACTCATATTCATACAAACATTTAATTTTTTATAGAGATCATTTCAACATTTTTTTACAATGATGACACCTATCAACATTCTGGGTGTCTATTGTAATGCAAATATGACTGAACAATGAGTTTTGAATGAATAAATCAGCTGATTCATTAGCAAGGATAATTATTTATTAAAAGCCTAATGATAATTATCAAGGACAGCTGTCCAGTTTAGATAAAAACAAAAAGCTACTGACGTTTCTCAGGATGGAACCAGCAACCGACTGATTACTAGGCGAGCACTAAATTTACTCAACTACGCTTATTTATATTCTGTTATTTATTTGTAATTTATTTGATGTTACCATCCTGTGCCCATAGAGGTATTTATGGTCAATCTCTGATAACCCAGGATCAATAATCCTAATCATACTAGGGCCCCTAACCAGATTACTACTGATTTAATTTGTACAACTATTTTTCAGCCATGTTATGACGTAAACAACTGTGATATTGGCTACCAAGTATGCGATACTTCAACAGGAAAATGTGTGGATAACCCCTGCAGCGTGGTCCGCTGCATGGGCAAGTGTGTGGTGGTATACAAGGAATGTCCTGATGGTGAATTCCCGTGTCCTCCCAGAGCCGAATGTCAACCAAGAGAGGGCGAGGTTGGTAGTTTTGTGTTAAAATATAAACAAATTGGTAATTTTGTACAGAGATTTGCAATTCTGGTCAGTTTTATTTTTATAGACTTCTGCAGAAGGGATAATAGTACTATATTTCATCACAAGGGAGTAAAGTGATTCTTTTCGACCCGATCTTAAGTTGTGCAATAGAAGCTAAGCCGAGGTCGGAAAATAAGAGAGAGTTATAAAGACACTTTTTGCCCGTGAGATTAAATATGCTGCATCATTCATTGATTTTACTGGTTTTCAGAAGATTCATCTTAGTTAAAATAAAAGGTCTATAAATATATACATACAATAACTGTTGGAATACAATTGTAAATAAACATACTCAACACAATTTACTGCATTGGAATTTTTAATATATTTATAATGTTAATTGTCATCCGTCCTGTCTTTCTTTTTTTAGTGTTATAAAGACAGCCACTGCAAAGGCAACGACATTTGCGATTCAGGAAAATGCAAAGAAAACCCTTGTAATACTGTGGATTGCCGCTCCGGTTACGAGTGTTACATAAAAACAGTTCAATGCATCCGAGCCCCTTGTCCTCGAGTGGCTGCATGTCGACTAGACAAAGTTGGTTATTTTCTATGATGCTAGTAAAAAGTAAAGCTTGGTTTGTAATTTGTTTTTAGTAAAAATTTCTTTAGGCACCAAAAAGCATCACACCTTATAGATATACTATAAACTCTTATTATCTTCCTAGGCTTAATTTTAGAATAATTATGGACCTTTTTGAACTAAACCATTGACTTTTGGGCACTAAAGTAAACAGGCATGCCATCTATATGAACCAGATGTCACAAATCTTCTATTCAAAATTAACATAGTTGTGATCCAGTCACAGATTGCACTAGTGTCTAAAAATTTTTGACATTAACATAAAAGAAAAACATAAAAGATGCTACAAATTACAACAAGTTGTCTTATCAGTTTGACTTAGTTAAAAAGTATATTCAACAGAAATTATTAATTTTATTTACATCAGAGTAATCTGTCGGAGGTTCACTTCAACTGATGTCCATTTTGATTTAAAATCTGGAGTCAATTTTAACATGGGGATGAAATGTTTATTTCTACCAATAGTCAACAATTGAACACATACAGGTGATAGTTGCATTCCTAAAGCATAAGAACTTTTTAGAGGAAATTGATTGTAGTGTACATAGTTTAAGATTTTCCACTTACGGAAAACTGTTTTCCCCAGAAATGCGGTGAATATACCTGTAAGTCTCACGAAGTGTGTGACCGATCAGCAAGCGAGTGTATTGAAAACCCGTGCAACTACGCCAAGTGTGGCCCAGGCAAAGAGTGCCGAGTGAACTACGTCCAGTGCTTCAAAGCCCCGTGTCCGCCACTGGCCGAGTGTGTTCCCACGGCTGGCTCATGTGATGAAGTCAGATGTGACGAAGGCAGCCACTGTGAGGATGGAGCTTGTGTGTTGGACGACAGATGTGCTCTCGTACTGTGTATTACTGGCTCGTACTGCTACAAGGGCAGCTGCTTCAAGGTAAAATACAGCAAACCCCAGAAGATTCCTATTAGGAGAAAACATTTTAGACTCTTAGGATGAGTACCAGTTGGTGACGACGTCTCAGTGAATGACCATTTCGTATGAAAACATCATATTATGCTTTTTTGCCCAGTCAATCATAAACGGTCCAAAAAGTAACATAACATGAGGTTACTAACCTGACGTCAATCAATCCTATATTTGTCGTAGATGACTATAGTTTCAGGGTTAAAACCCCATTTTCCTCTTCAGTCGCCAATTGTCAAACATATCTTCCTGAAATTGCGGTCGTCAATATTAAATCACACATAAACACATACGGAAACATTTAAGTTTACAAAATTATATACAAGCGCGCGCGGCCAGCCAAGGACATAACCTGGTTTTGAAAACTTCTCACGGGTGTAATATTGACAACGGCAAGTGCAGGAAAATATGTTTGACAATTGACGACTGAAGAGAAAGATACAAATTTAAAAATTTGTATTGGTGTTGCAGGAAGTCGAGTGCGGAGAAGGCGAGTGTGGACCAGCCCAGAAGTGCTACACTGGAACCGAGCCCTGCAATCAACCTCATTGCCCTTCAAAGAGGATCTGCGTAACAGACAAGTGTGCTGTTGTGAGGTGTCGCAGTGGGACTCATTGTGTTGATGGAAAGTGTGTGCCTCGCGACCCATGCCTGTAAACGTTTGTACACCAACCAAGAACAATACACTTATACTGCAGTAAAGTTATTCCTAAAATAAACATTTTTAATCATACATTTTGTTTTATTTCAGTTTGTATGCATCCCACAAGTAAGAAATGTATCATGGTTTAACCAAATAATTTTACTACAGCCTTGGTGGTCTGGCTTTAATAATTGTTCTACAATAGCAAAGAATACAAACCTCATAAGAAGCTATCAGCCTAGGATTTTGGCAAATTTCCATGGCGGCCGCTGGAAAGGAAGGTGCTACTATCGCTGGCACGCAGCGACGTCAAACCCACAGCAGTGTGAGTGAGACAAGGAATTGTCGTTGAGAGAAAGAGGCTAGCGCTTACCTAGTGGCGGCTGCACAAGGCTCATTTCGGCGGCAAAATCCAGTCTGACTCTTCCCCATAGGCATTTCTTCGCTTCTTATAAGGTTTGTTTTCATTGACAATAGTCACTACTTTGTACCAGAGTCCTCTTGAATTTTGTGATTCTCGTTAACTAATAACATACACCAAATTTTAGGTGTGTGTCGGAAATCGGAAATGACTTGAAATATATCAAAGTTGTATCTGCTTAAAGCTGTGTTTACAAGAGGGCAGTCGAGCAGACAGGTTACGGTGCAGGTTATGAATACTTTATATATATTTATGGTGTATTTTAAGTAAACTGCCCGCCAACTGGCTTTCTGTAAACAAGGCTTAAGTAATAATAATTAATTGACAATGTAAGCAGACTCCAATTTTGAAACCCCTTAAGATTATGTTAACTGGACTCACTTGGGCTCCAGCTCCATCATGGAACCCTGTCCTCCAAATCACCACCTGAGATCTACACAAAAAACAAACTTCCTGATCAAGTTTACTGACTTTCAACCACAGCCTTCTGTAGGTCAGTACCACAAGTGATTGTTTAATAACACTTCCACTTGAACAACATTTCCCAACACTACACAACATTTGGCCAATCCTATTACAATAGGAGTAATCAGTATATTCCAAGTGATAAAACTGCTTGCAAACATGCCACATCATTACATTTATAAGGTTACAGGACTTTTAAATTTAGGTTAAAAATCACAGCAGTGTTAATCAGGTACATCTAAGTTTTATTTACACTATACAGTTTATACATTTTTGTCATCGAGTGACGAAACTAATTGTTCTAAATTGTAACGTACTACAATGATTTACATAAGGTACACATGTCCCTGTGGGTTTAAGGGCAATCCGTTAAGTACAAAGTTGAGAAATGAAATAATTATCAAAGTCAAAGAAGTTTACAATTACGAGGGCGGTTCAGAAAGTGAGGAATGTTTTTGAAACGTTTGTATTAGCAGAACGTGTAAGGTAGTTTAAACATTTGAAAGAACAATTTAAAAATTACGTTTTTCATAGTCCCGAAAGAAATTCAGGCATATGTATTGGTGGACGAGCTTTGAAATTCCTTTCTTTATCTGGACAGTAGAACTGTGTGTTATCGGTTGTAAATATTCAATTTAAATGATCAAGAGATAATGTGTGCAATTTGCTGTCGGGCGTTGTGTAAAAAAATAAAATTTAGGACGGCAGTTTGGCTATTTTAAAACTATGCACAATCACCCGACAGCACTTTCATTTATTATGTTATTTCCAAACTCTTCACACACTTAATGATCGATATCTATAGTACGTTTAAGGACAACAAAACCTGTATTTGAGACCGCACCTCACAACTATCAGCATTTTCAATTGCAGCACAATTTTTAATATGATTTTGTGACAACATGCAGCACAATGACACTTCCGCTGTGTCATTTCTCCACAATCATTGAGGAGGCGGATTCGTGAGTACGAGAAAGTGTGTGATCAGCGCCAGATGGAAACGGCCCTTACTTTCTGAACAACCCAAGTACATATCGGGACTTTTTTAACTTTAGTTGTCTTACTAGCTAACATATTCCAATCCTTTCATGAATGTTTTATACTAAAGATCTAGCTTAAAAATTATCCAGTAAAGTTTGATCTTAATTTGATTGTTTACCACAGTTGAAGCATATATAATTTGTTCAAAAAAAACAATTTAAACAGCAATGATCAATTTACTACCCAAACATAGTAACTAGTAACACAGCTGTTTAAAGCACTGTAGTTTATTTGTGACCAAAACACTCGTTGTACCACATGGGTGGTAATATAAAATGGCTAGTCAGACAACAAATATTTTCTTATGGACAAAATATTATTTTAATTTGTACATTGAATTTGAAAGATTATCCATTTTTTACACCCCAAATTAAGCTATCACAATTAATTATTGAAAAAAAAACCATTGACCAAATAGTAAAGATACTACGTCTATAAAACAGCTCTTATGCCTTAATATTTTATTTTTAGATACTGACGTAGACATCCTGCCTATGGACCATATAAAAATAATAATTAAGTTAATTGACTGCTCACAACAAAAATTGTAATAAAATACCCCCGCCGCAGCAAACCTGCAGACTAAGTGAATTTCCATTTGCCTGATTGGATTTACACTAAAATGTCTCCTTAAAATATCACATTTATTCCCTATTTAAATCGAATCAGTTTAACACATACTTAGGTTTGCTGCAACAGGGAGGGTTAAAGTGTTTTTTTTTATGTAAAATGTTAATAGTTAGTAAGAAATAAAAACATTTTCCAAATTTGGGCAAAATATGTTAATAAATAAGCAAACTACAACAGTTTACTTATCCTCCATAAGAATAACATGGGAACTTTAAATTTACAATTTTTTTGAATTTTCTCTGTAACCATTAGGCGCATTACAACGCTTCAATATACTAAATTATTTGTTTTTTTAAGCTCTACAAAATAGTTTGGAAAGAAATTGCAAAAATTTAAGTTTTTTGGGTCAAAAATGGGAAAAACCCCATTTTTACCACATAAAAGCCCCCATAAACCCCCGTTCCCATGGTCCAATCATGCTGGTTCGCGAACTCGTCCAAATAAACGTAGGTTTACACGTTTGTACCAAATTTCATCAAAATCGAATCATTTTTGCTCGAGTTATCGCGCTAACGGACACATATATATATATATATATATATAAATATATATTAGTGATGGGCGGATCCAAGAAAATGTCGGTACCGGATCCGGATCTTGAAAAATTCGGATCCGGATCTTCGGATCTTCGGATCCGGATCCAGATACACACTGTCATAAGGGCGGATAAAAAAAAACGTAATTAACAGAATGCCAATTTAGATCATACTTTTATTATTTTTTATCACGAAGCATCGGGTGAGATTAAAATACTAACCGGATATTTTTGAGACGAAATTATAGGCCGTTAGCTTATCATCCAGGTACAAAACTAAAAACTAGAGGTGTGAAGATATCCGAAAAATCGGGTCGGATTCAGTTCGGAAAGATACATGCCATTTCCATATACGAGTATGTTATTTATTTGTATCAAGAGACAAACACTGAAACATGGCCTTGCCATATAAGTTATTTGCACCAAGAGACAAACACTAAGACATGACCTTGCCATATAAGCTATTTGAATTAAGAGACAAACACTGAGACATGGCCTTGCCATATAAGTTATTTGCATCAAAAGACAAACACTGAGTCATAACCTTGCCATATAAGTTATTTGCATCAAGAGACAAAACTTTTGATGCAAATAACTTATATGGCAAGGCCATGACTCAACAGACAAACACTGAGTCATGGCCTTGTCATATAAGTTATTTGCATGAAAAGACAAACACTGAGACATGGCCTTGCCATATAAGTTATTTGCATCAAGAGACAAACGCTGAGACATGGCCTTGCCATATAAGTTATTTGCATCAAGAGGCAAACACTGAGACATGGCCTTGCCATACAAGTTATTTGTATCTAGATACAAACATCGAGACATGGCCTTGCCATATAAGTTGTTTGCATCAAGAGACAAACACTCGGGGAAAAAACGGTCTTGTACATGGATACAGACAGCTTTGTGTTTAGTAAACAAATCGGGGTTGTACAGTGATACAGACAGCTTTGTGCTAGTAAAAACATTCGGGGTTGTACAGTGATACAGACAGCTTTGTGTTAGTAAAAAAATCGGGGTTGTACAGTGATACAGACAGCTTTGTGTTTAGTAATCAAATCGGTGTTGGTGTTGTACAGTGATACGGACAGCTTTGTGCTAGTAAAAACATTCGGGGTTGTACAGTGATACAGACAGCTTTGTGTTAGTAAACAAATCGGGGTTGTACAGTGATACAGACAGCTTTGTGCTAGTAAAAACATTCGGGGTTGTACAGTGATACAGACAGCTTTGTGTTGGTAAAAACTCGGGGTTGCACAGTGATACAGACAGCTTTTTACCTTAGTAAAAAATCGGGGTTGTACAGTGATACAGACAGCTTTGTGTTAGTCAAAAAAATCGGTGTTGTACAGTGATACAGACAGCTTTGTGTTGGTAAAAAATCGGGGTTGTACAGTGATACAGACAGCTTTTTGTGTTAGTAAAAAATCGGGGTTGTACAGTGATACAGACAGCTTTGTGTTAGTAAAAAAATCGGTGTTGTACAGTGATACAGACAGCTTTGTGTTGGTAAAAAAATCGGGGTTGTACAGTGATACAGACAGCTTTGTGTTTAGTAATCAAATCGGTGTTGTACAGTGATACGGACAGTTTTGTGCTAGTAAAAACATTCGGGGTTGTACAGTGATACAGACAGCTTTGTGTTAGTAAACAAATCGGGGTTGTACAGTGATACAGACAGCTTTGTGTTAAGTAATCAAATCGGTGTTGTACAGTGATACGGACAGTTTTGTGCTAGTAAAAACATTCGGTGTTGTACAGTGATACGGACAGTTTTGTGCTAGTAAAAACATTCGGGGTTGTACAGTGATACAGACAGCTTTGTGTTAGTAAACAAATCGGGGTTGTACAGTGATACAGACAGCTTTGTGCTAGTAAAAACATTCGGGGTTGTACAGTGATACAGACAGCTTTTTGTGTTAGTAAAAAATCGGGGTTGTACAGTGATACAGGCAGCTTTGTGTTAGTAAAAAAATCGGTGTTGTACAGTGATACAGACAGCTTTGTGTTAGTAAAAAAATCGGTGTTGTACAGTGATACAGACAGCTTTGTGTTGGTAAAAAATCGGGGTTGTACAGTGATACAGACAGCTTTTTGTCTTAGTAAAAAAAAAATCGGTGTTGTACAGTGATACAGACAGCTTTGTGTTAGTAAAAAAATCGGTGTTGTACAGTGATACAGACAGCTTTGTGTTGGTAAAAAATCGGGGTTGTACAGTGATACAGACAGCTTTTTGTGTTAGTAAAAAATCGGGGTTGTACAGTGATACAGACAGCTTTGTGTTAGTAAAAAAATCGGTGTTGTACAGTGATACAGACAGCTTTGTGTTTAGTAATCAAATCGGTGTTGTACAGTGATACAGACAGCTTTTTGTCTTAGTAAAAAATCGGGGTTGTACAGGGATACAGGCAGCTTTGTGTTGGTAAAAAAATCGGGGTTGTACAGTGATACAGACAGCTTTTTGTGTTAGTAAAAAATCGGTGTTGTACAGTGATACAGACAGCTTTGTGTTGGAAAAAAATCGGGGTTGTACAGTGATACAGACAGCTTTATGCTAGTAAAAACATTCGGGGTTGTAGAGTGATTCAGACAGCATTGTGTTAGTAAAAAAATCGGTGTTGTACAGTGATACAGGCAGCTTTGTGTTGGTAAAAAAATCGGGGTTGTACAGTGATACAGACAGCTTTATGCTAGTAAAAACATTCGGGGTTGTAGAGTGATTCAGACAGCATTGTGTTAGTAAAAAAATCGGTGTTGTACAGTGATACAGACAGCTTTGTGTTGGTAAAAAAATCGGCGTTGTACAGTGATACAGACAGCTTTGTGTTAGGAAAAAATCGGGAAAAATTTTGAAAAAATCGGATCCATCAAAACCGGATCCAGCCCAAGATCCGGAATTTTTTGGATCCGATCCGGTGCCGGTTCTAGCTCGGATCCGGCGGATCCGGTAGTCCGATATCCGGATCCGACCATTACTAATATATATATATATGAATTTGAACAGATGCTATTTTTGGCCTCTAGGGACCTCAAAACGAAAAAAAAAATCGGTCCCGGGTCCAGGTCTTACCATGAGTACTACGGTAATAGCTTATTCCCTATATGGGAAATTCGCTAATATTCCCTATATGGGAAATTCGCTAAAAGTAGCTCAGCTTTACCACAGAAAAAATTATATTTGACAACTAGTCCTGAAAGTGACCATTTGGGGCAAGACAGAAACGACCATCGAGCACCAGAATGGATCTTTCATCATTAGTAGTGAATGATTCCATAGACAAAAAGACTTAAATATAGACTGCCAGCAGTGGTGCAGTTAGCATATGTTCTGGCATCCACCGCTAGGAGTGTCGTGTAGTTATGGCGCCCACTGCTGCAGCGTCTGCTGGTAGCATATGGCAAGCTGACGACGGCAGCAAATTGAACACCGAGCACACTCTAGAGGCACATTGCAGAACCTTCCTTTGACAGTCTATATTTATTCTATTTGTCTATGGTGATACTTTTCACCACAATGCAAAAGATTACACAAAGTTTCTTGGTCTGAAATAATCCAATATATAGCCTTGTAATTCTGTTTAACGTTTTCATACCCCAGGTTTGCTCTGTTTTGTTTGTTTGGGTAAGATAAAATAACTAAGTAATGTTTAGGACAGGGTAAAACATATGTTTTAGTAGATTCCAAAACAAAGATTTTTGAATGGCTTAGCTGAGAGCTATTTTCGTATATAGAGTGAGAAAAATGTTTACTTCAGTACCATTTGACATAACTATACCCACAGAAATTGCACTGTTGTAAATAAACTCTTTATAAATAAATATAACACAAAGACATTTTTAGAAGCAGGTAAAAAAGGCTACGAAAGGAACGCAGCAGCTCTAGTGGCTATATGAGCTCTACATACAGGACATGTAGATCCAAGCTGAGCACTACAGTCTTCACACACACATAGGTGACCACACGGCAACATGATGACCTACAACATAAAGATGAAACAGAGTTTACCATCAAAGAAATATAACCTTATGAATATGAAAGATTTTAACCTCATGTAAATATTGAAAAAGGTCATCGAAGCTTATTGCATTTAAACCATGTAGGACCAAAATGCCTCTTCAGCAATGGATGATTCATTGAGAAATGAAGCAGTTAGTCCTGCTGAGCATTTTCAAAGACAAACGAAGGAGGAGTTTGTCACTGTGATTCACAATTCTAACATTTTAATTTAAGGCTGGCCACAAACTGCAACAGTTGAGTCGAAGCGTGGTAAGGCATTTTGACTAAACATGGATGCTTACAGAGCACCACACACTGTAAAAGACGAGGTGAGATGGGACAAATAATTGCCTATTAGCAAAAATTAGCCAACAATTCTCTTTTGTAGACAGTCGCTGGCCGTGGAAGTATTTTTCACATTTTTGGATTCCCATGACTTCCACCATTATGTACATAGTCGGAATAGTTTTATCGTAAAATGCGGGTAACCGTTTGGTATAATATGCAAACACCTTTTTAATTAAATACATCAAATATCCAGTAAAAGTGTAAAACATCTTATAAAACACTGAATTAGCTTGTACACAATATTTTACGAGGAGAGACCCCTATTCCAAACTCCAAACATTTAAGTTTCACCGCTGCAGCTCTCCTACAAAGTGTGTTTCTCTTTTTAATCTTACTTGTACTTCGAGAATTAACTTTACCGGATCTGAACGCAACTATGTAATTACCTTTATCAATCACCGGTGTATGTTACAAAATCACACTTGCAACCATTGATAAAAAACACAGTGTTTATATTGATACAAACCGCGACAAAACTTGCCTTGATTTTTGCAGTCTGTGGCAGGTCTAAAACCAACCTACAACTACCAGCTTAGTTGTCCAACAAAGTTAATGTTACAAACAGTTTGTTTTACTGACACAATCACTTGTTGCCTACCTCTCTGGGGTTGTCTTGACACACGATGCATTGCAGAGCTTGAGGTATGTTGTCTCCGTGTGTCCGTGCGTTTCGCCGTCGCTCCCTCAGTCGCCTGCGCAGATCTGCAGACTCCCTCTTCTTTTTCAGATGGATCCACAAACGACGGATCAGTAGCGCACTGGACGCTGCTGTCAAGGTGCCAGTGATAACTAGAAGAGCTCTGGAACAAAAGTTAGGGCCTATTAGTGAAATTCTAATCTGTAAATAAAAGAATTGTTTATTTATACATGTCAACTTTCATTGCAAGCTTGCTTGCTTGTATTATTACTTCTTGACATTCTGCTGGTAAAATTACACGATCTATTGTATGTATTATGTTTACTGATTGATTAAATCTATCTAACTATCTACGTATTACAAAAGCTGTTACCCGTAAAGCATCTTCTTGTCCCTAATTGTACTGAGGATAGTAGCTACGGACTGGGTGATGATGAAGAATGGTTTGTTTTTCCCCGGTGGGAGCAGAGCTTTGGTGCCGTTCTCCAGTACTGCGAGCTCTCCGATACCTAGGTAAATGTTTTGATTAACAAAAAGTACAACAAACACTAGCCAAAGGGAAAGGAAGGATTGTTTTTGTTTGGTGTAACCTTACAGGAAACTCTGATTTTTGGATCCGATGGCACCATTTTCCATAATTAACTAGAATTATGTGTTTTCAGGTTGATATTACGATTATCTACAAGTCCTGTTTAAATATTTTTTTAGGTTGATTTGGGTTGGTTCAAGTTAGATTCAAGTTAGGTTCAAGATATATTATAACCTCAATTATCTTGTGTCATTCAAATTACATAGAAGCAGTGAATTAGGCATAAAAAGGTCCAAAATTTCAGAATCAGTAAAAATAAATTCACCTGTGACGATCGTTCCCTCTTTCAACATCTCCTCCGTAGTCTCGAGGCCGTAACGTCGAATTCCGGAGAAGAAGCTCCACATGTTGGCTGCTAGAGAGTGAACCATCGGGTCGTACCTGCTGTACACAGTGTCTAAGTGAAGCTCGTCTGCTAGTAGCACGTCTTTCACCTCTATCAGGCTGCTGCCGACGACGATGGCGAACGGAACAGTGTTGTAGGACTGATGAATAGGCCGAGACTGGTCCATCCTGCACAGGATTCATGATTCAGGATTGTTACGAGTTAAAATTTTCACACGGACTAAAATCATTTCTTTTTGCCGGCTTGTAAGTCAATTGAGAGAATTAATTAAATATGGAGCATCCAGAAAGAGCAATTAATTATCGGAAAAAAACCTTCAGCAATGAGAAACATACAATGGATGCACAGCATTATTTCTCATCACCAACTGCTTCAGTCCTTTTGAAAAATGAAAAGAAAATCCTTAATTTTTTCAGGAAAAGGCCACATGACCCTTTTTTACACTTAACCTGACATTCATAAATATATAGAAATAAGAATACAATGGAATTACTTAATCTAATTAACATATTTAACAATTTAAATACATTTCTCAGAAAAAAAATTTAAAAACATGCAATTTTAACAAAAGAAAAAACACATTTAGGCCTACACACTCTCACATGCACGCATCAGCAAACGCGCAAAGAAACAGTAGCCCTAGGACACGCCAGCCGAGACCATCTGCTCAAAATAGAGCTTTTTCAGTGCCGCCACAAACTGGGAACGTTTTTCAAGCGTTTTAATGTGCAGTGGTAGGCCGTTCCACAGACGACAAGCGGTAAGAACAAAAGCCCTGTTATAAGCAGTGGATGATGAGGTACACAATGCGATCCGAGAATAACGAGACATTCGTGAACTACTCAGAGACACAAATTTAAAATCGGATTTGAAATATTTTTGGGGAGCCTGTTTTCAAAATTTGAAAAAACCAATGAAAAAATCTTTTATGAATCTTGATAATTTAATTTCAGAATGTGTGCCTCAAGCAGTGGCGGATCTAGAGCAGTCACAAGGGGAACCAGGGAGTCAGGGGCGGTTCGGGGGTACCCCTCCGAAAAATGTGTGTAAACTAAGTCTCCTAAATCACAGTTTTTTACCATTTCTTTGTCCAAAGTTAGTGTGACAAATTATTTTACGCAATTTGTATGCACTAGGTACTGTATTACATGCAGTAAAAAATATATGTATATATATGCCCGAGGGGGGGGCGGTCGCCCCCCTCGCCCCCCCTCTGGATCCGCCACTGGCCTCAAGGTAGTATGGCGTGATATGCTCCACATGTTGTAGACCATAGACAAATATCAAACAATAATTCTGTGACTGCTAGAGCATACCCCCCAACCCCCCTTCTATATAAGATATGACCAGCTGCTAAGTCCAGTTTCAATCCAGTTTTGTGTAGCCTAATGCTAGTAAATGCATAGGGACTAGGTCTGCCCCAATGGCGAATAACTTCTTGAATGAATGAAAATAAAGATTACTAAGCTCTTAAATGTTTTCATGTTTTATTAATAGATAGCATAAAAGAAAAAAAAGTTAAATTAATGTATCATTTTAATTTTTACATCCTCTAGATATTTAATCCTATACTTGTATTGTAGATGTGTATGTAGTATGTATGTATATTTCGTAGGCCTAGACATAGGACGATGTTTTGACTTCCAATGATTTGTGAAAATCCAAAAGACAAATAAATTATATGATTGATTGATTAGAAATTAAAGTGTAGATTGAATCTGATTAATCAAGAACACTGCAAAAAAGAACTCATTGAAAATTTAGGTTAGGCTTATTATAATTCAAGGATTCCATTTTAGATAAATTGCAACAAATCACTGTTTTATACTTACCAGTAACCAGAGGAATTGCGAGTCATCACATACTCATTGGTGCTCATTCTCTGTACCACTCCAGACATGTTGGGAGCATACACACTAATGATGTTATTTCCCAATGATTTCACAGGACCTTGGACCATAGTATATCTTTTCTCGCCAGTCTGAATTTGTTCCACATCTTTGTTTTCACCCTTTGAAATCACATCCTACAACAGAATGTACAGAATAATAGCCTAAGGTACCATACATACAATTGGTAAGACTGTATTGGTTTTAGGCAGAGGATACGCGTCCGGTAACCGGACTTGGATTAGGTGTCCGGCAGTTACTGTCATAACCTAGAACCTAACTAACCAAACTTGCTGATGATAAAAAATTTAAATGAAGGTTAAATTATGATCATAAAATAAAATTATAAATGCCTCAAATTCTAAAAAAAGATGTTAAGAAGAAATGGCATTCCAAGCAAAATCTTGGACATAAAGTTTGTGTCACCGATGGGATTCGATCTAGATACCTCTTGTACAAAAGCCAAGTACTCTATCCACTACACCACTGATGGCTGTAAACCGTATCGTTTAGGTAATAGCTCTACAGAATCTAATAATCCTATTATTCACCTGTCGTACTTGCAGATCAGCAACTTCAACGTTCTTCAAAGGTCAAAGACTTAGGCATCATACTCTCTCCTGACCTCAATCCTCAAAAGCACATAAACTTATTTTCCTACAGTCACCCGTCAAAGTTGGCTTCCTTGTACTGTTTATAGTACAGGAAGCTGCTAACTGCTGCATATTTATACTTTGTCGTACGGTTTATACTTTGATGCACATCAGTATTCCAATGAAACAACACAAAACAGCGTGGTTCTATTATGCACATAATCCGTGTACGCTTGGAAATAAGTTGGCAACACTTAAAGATAATACTATGAGCAGCTGATTGACTATTATAACTACGATTTAACCTGTCATTTTATGTTTATAGTTTCGGTATTTCTGAACTTTCTGGACTTTTCTTTTAAACCTTTTTAAAACATTCCTACGATCTTAATAAACAAGAAAATACCTTTAAAGCATATTTTTAGGCGTGGAAACCACTTAAAATTACAATAACATACAGAACTATTTTCTCGAGTCGCGGAGCACATTGCTTGCCGAGGAAAAAATAGGGATATGGACCGGGTACTACTTTCTCTAGAGCACCTATTTGTGTTGCCAGCTGAACCTAAAAACGTGTTATATAGTGTTTGAAAGACTAATTATTTATATACTTTATAGTGACTGTAGGAAAAATATAATGTGTAACACGAGTGCAAAAGGCCTTTGCTCACTAGTTACACAAATAACTATTTTAAGAAGGCCAACTCAGAACTTAATTTCATCACCAGGGTCAGTCATTACAGATTTTCAGTATCAGCACTGGTAACTCTTTATATCCATACTTGAGTTTCTTCCACAGTTTGGAATCCGTACCAGTCTGGAAAACACTCAAAGCCGTTTTGTTCGCCTTGGTCTACGTTTGGGGATGCAATGCCGTGCTGTTCCTGTTCATGATCTGCAACTCCAGATGAACCTGTTGCCTCTTTCTACCAGACGTGAGGTAAATGATGTCTTGTTCTTGAAGAAGTTGATCACATCCTCCATTGATGCTCCCGACCTGCTTGTGAAACTAGACTTCCGCACTTCATGCAGCCTTCTCCATACCCAGCTGTTTGTGAGGCGGCAGTACTCAACGCAGTACATGTTTCACAGTGCAGTTTCTCGTCTGCAATGTCTGGCAAACAACCTACCCGGACATTTGGATCTGTTCAGCACGAACAATGAAACATTCAAGACAAAACTTGTTAACAGCATGCGTTTCTCATTGATTCAATGATAAGTTATTGTTTTGTTGTTCTTGACCATGTTATGCTTTCCAGAGTTGTTATTCTTTCTCATTGTATCCATTCTTCATTCCATTGTCTATTTGTACATTCTACTATCTATTGTTACATTTCATATTTATATTGGTATTTACTATATTTTGTTATATTTTTTTCCTACTGTTATAGCTTGTTATATATCTTAAATATCTTTTTATTGTGATATTATTCTTCTATTTATTGAATATTACTTCATGTTGGCTGTAAATTGCTTTTAAAAAGTCCCTTTTTAAATTAAGTTAAGTTATATTACGTTTTGTTATATTTATGTAGGCTTATTGGTTTGACCGTTGATATGAATAAATAAATAAATGGTGTTCCGGGGCATACAATCCGGTGACGTCACTGCCGGATGCCTAATCCAAGTTCGGTTAATGACGGGTATCCTCAGGGTTAAAATTAAACCCTGATCATTGATCTCATTTAAATTTCTGTTAAAATTATACTTCAATCTATTACAGATTCTCATGACTTGGGTGGCTTTAAAGTGTTCCTGTGTACCTCTTGTAAATCCGACGCTTGCTAAGAAGTAATTTTCCAAAACTGATGATATGTCTTACTAGAAACACTTTAAACTAAATAGGGGCTAAAACTAGAGCCATTTCAAAGAAAAGCATCAAAGAGTCAAAACTCACCTGTAGGCTAGACTAGAATAATAGACTGCAAAACAATGTAATCAATCACAAGTTACCGCAGATTGTTTTTCGACAGTGAAGGCATGTCGAGTTAACGTGACCCAAGATGTGTGGAGTATTACTGTATTAACTTAACTTAAAAGTCTAGGCCTACTCTTGATACAAAATCTTGACGACATACTATGTGTTTAAGTAAAATTTGAGGCTGCACTTTACTGCTCCTGTCATTCGATATATTGTTTGGTTAGTAACCTAAGCTAACTAACCAAACGATATATCGATTGAAACAATCGAATAATCAATATTTTCATTTGAATGGGTGTAGGACCTAAGTAAAGTGCAGCCGTATAAACTTACATAACTTTTATTAAATTTATACCCCAAACTGTGATAGGATTAAGTAAATATTTGGGCTACAGTAAAAAACTATATAGGCCTAAGCTTACCTGTAAACACTGAATATATGTTGAAGTCTTATTATAGCTTTTGTAAAAAAAATAGCTTAAAATAGCATCAACAGAAAACACCAAAATTTCTGTCGGTAAATCTGTGTTCCATATAAAAGCCATTAGGCTAATTTGTAGAGCAAGTAATTAAAAAGAAAATATTACTGTGCAAAAATATTTCAGTTTTCATCACAACTTAACCTCAAAACTGATTAATGACAGACTGAGAAAAAGAAAATGTAGGTCAGTAAACAGCTGTTTCATCATAGATCATAGACAAGAATTTAGAATTTCACCGAAAGAGCGCAGCAGCTGTCAAAATACAAACACAACACAGTCATGTGCTGCCTTAAGTGGCAAATTAGTAAACTACTATTGATACTTTGCGGTTTACCCGTAAGAGCGCAGCAGCTGTCAGAAAACACGGAAAACACAACCCTGAAATGTGCTGCTCCAAGCGGCAAATTAGTAAACTACCTCTGATAATAACAGTTGAGTTCACTCCACTCCACTCCACTCCCGGACCCAGATCGGAGTCCACTTTGAACTTTACTTTGAAGTACCCTACTTCTTTTTCTTCTACTTACTTTGCCGTGCCGGTGCCTACAGTAAACACAAACAGTAAACAACAAACAGTATTGTGATTTTCTTTTGAGAATGTCAATCCTGCAATCCTCCGCTCTTAATTCTTGATTCTTATCTATTTATTCTGCTGCATCTGCCTGCACTGCAACTGCATTGCATTCTGCTGGATGATTCGTTCTACTAGGAAGGATTTAAGGTTGGAGTTGGAAGCACGAAGCACGAGAACTAATTCAATCATTCAAGAATTTATAGGAAATAGGCCTAAAACGACTGGTGTCTTAGGTATGTAACTTGAAATAAAAACTAGGCTATCTTATCCTAAGCCTCAGTCACACTAGGCCTAGGGTGTTAAGCATCCACTACTAATCGAATCATAGTTTCAATCAATATTAGCATAGCCCAGTTAAGAAACTGTACCCCCAGTTAGCACGTTGACGAGCTCAGAGTGATTTTTAGGATGTAAAATTTCGAAATCCACTCATTCTGTAACATGGGAGAGTAACTTATTTCATACCGATTGGGTACAGTTTCTTAACTGGGCTATGCTAATATCGATTAAAACTATCGATTCGATTAGTAAACCTTTGTGCGATTTTTTCACCATCAGCAAGTTTGGTTGGTTAGGTTAGGTTTTGTTAATAGTTAATTTTGTAATACCGTAGATATATTTTAAAATATCGATTATTAATCAATATTTTCAATTCCGTAGTTTCAATCGATATTAGCATAGCCCAGTTAAGAAACTGTACCCTACAGATTTGTTGGACTGCATCTCTTCTTCAGAAATGTTCCTTTGAGCAAGATCGGAAGTTAAGGGAAGGACTAGAGACCAGACAGTTGCAATTATCTCGGTGTGAGTAAGCTTACACGGCAAAACCTGAATTCATTTTTTTAGAAACTGGTTTGTGTGACCTAAGTAAGATGTCATTATCTTGGGTAAGTTAGGCCTAGCCTATCTGTTATTGCCCTCATCGCGTTGGGCATCTGGCATCTGTCAGTCTTTGAAAACCTTCTCTTGTGCCTCATGCTTTAAGGCTATAACTTAGTTAAGTTATGTGGCAAATATTTTATAACTTATATCTACAATGCGATATCGTACGTAATCTTTAGATGTTTACTTGCAGTATTTTTCACGCTGAATCCAAAAACGCAATCAGTTTTTGTCGGAGAGATTCATAAGTGGCCGTAAAAATTAGGTTAAAATTACGAATCTAAGGTTCATTGAGCTATACTGAAGGTAATATGGCGTGGTCTGGACGGGTCCGTATGTGGACTGTGGACTGAGTGAGGAGGAGAGCAAACAGCTGTTTATACTCGACTTAATGCGGAATGAAATCAATTCAAATACCTAATCAGTTCTTATTTAGGCATGTGAGAAGGTAGGTCGGGTTTTGCAAATTTTTGATATTTCACCCACTATTTCAATTGTGCAAAAACAGTCGGTAGCATAAATTATTAATGAGTCGGTACATTATAATCTAACCTTTACCTTCCTAATCTAACCTCACTTCAAAACACTTAATATAGTCACGAATCCGCATAAAGTCCGACCTATCTTCCTCACATGCCTTTTCTGACATAACATGTGATTTAAAAATTAATATTAAGGTTGGGTTGGGTTAGATTAGATTATGTAGGTAACATCATTTATTAGTTGCTGATACATGAAATTATGCACTGTGGCACGTTTTCACTTTTAGGCACAATGGGACTATGTACTATGGGACTATGCACTACTGTATATGGCACGTTCATTAACAGACGTTGAGGTTATTAGAGTTGATTTGTTGTATTTTCTAAACGGCACCAAAGTCCATTTTCTTTTTAAAAACAGAGTTATTGCACATTGTAACTCTGATTTTGCTCTCACAACTGACAGCTGTTTCCACTCCACAAACCTTCCACCCCTTTTAGTGTTAGTCGCCACTAGAACTTGGACTCGTCCAAACCACAACTTGGTGAATAAACCAACAAAACTGAAGCTTAATATTAATTATTTATCTGTACGGCCACTTAGGAATCTCTCCGACAAAAACTGATTGCATTTTTGGATTCAGCGTGGAAAATACTGTAAGTAGACATCTAAAAATTACACAATATCGCATTGTAGATATATCAAATAATTACCAGTTATGTCTTGATTATGGGTGTACTGTAACTTAAACTGGATCGTTAAGATTGATGCCAGTTGAAAAAAGTGTTGTATCTTGCAATATGACAGTAGGCCTGCTCCCACTAAGTTAATCCCATGACTTTAAGCCTACCTAGACTTACTCCCACTGGGCTCAACACATAACACCGCCGAGGCCAAAACCTTATTAGACCTCATTATTGTTAGTGGCTCTGAAATTTAAATTCTCAATGGGCAACTTCTAGTCCCTTCTATTTTACATCATGACCTTAATTAGCCTAGTTACTAGGTACCCTTGTCAAAAATCAAACAAAAGGTATTCACTTTCCCCAACTCGCCTAAAACGTTCTATAAGACGTGTTTAAACTGTTCCTAGACACCAACACTACAACTTTCTTAAATGACTTATTTTTCGCCAAGACTTCCTGTAGACACCACACCTAGATTACTAGACATCACCCCTGAAAAACTCGCAAATCTTGACAGTTTCCTACACTAGACACCTCACCAAGATTACAAGACACCACACCCAGATTACTAGACACCATTACCTAGATTAACCTTACCGTAATCTGGGTGAGGTGTCTAGTAATCTGGGTGTGATGTCTAGTAATCTAGGTATCTAGTAAATTGGGATTGGTGTCTAGTAATCTGGGGGTGGTGTCTAGTAATCTAGGTGTGGTCTCTACAGGAAGCCTCGGCGACAAAAAAGTCATTTGTGAAAGTTGTAACTTAGTGTTGGTGTCTAGGAACAGTTTAAAACGTCATATAGGACGTTTTAAGTGAGTTGGGGAAAGTGAATAAGAACCAAATTGTTAACCAATGTTCATTCAGCACCATGGGACTCCAGACACGCTCTGGAGTTCGTCAGTGATCCACGGAAAATTCTCTAAATTGCAGAATTTTGAAACTCAATGAATATATGCCCTGATTGTGACCCATAGAGTCAGCAAAAACATCCCAGTCCTTTGGGTTTCTAATGATTAGTTGCTTATCCCGACTCTGCAACTCTAGCCAAGTCAAACAGCTACTTTGTAATGCCAAACTTTGCTACATTAGTAGCTTTTTTCTGATAAAAACTTTATCATCACCCTTTTGGCGTAATGTAAAGAAGCTTGGCATTGGCAAGCAGTAAAACTCAATTCCATTATAGGGCCTATACCCAATACACGATGATGATGTCTATACAGCCGTCACGTTTTTGTGTATGCGGGAGTTGGTGATGATGTCTTCACGGCCACTGGAGAAAGGTAGTCAGAATTTTTGCCGCGATTGCGGGAGACGATAACCTTAATAGATTACAACGTATTACCAAATGTTAAATATCCAACTAATTGTTGTAATCTCATGGTTACATTGACAACTGTAACTGCATTTGTTTACCTCAAAAGTCAGTTGAGCGACCCTAAAATTGTCTCATTCTTAATGGTTTATCTATTGTTCAGCATCCCAAGGGTTCCAATAATTTATTCAAGAGATAAGAGGTGTCCTACTCTATAAATGGCTAAAACTGAAACTAATGGTATTACAAAGACAGATGATGGCTTAATTTGTTGGACAAATTCAATAAAATGTCAATCAAAGTTGTGCGAAATTCCATTCAAGAGATATTATTACAATACAATCACTGTATCAGTTTATCAAATTTCCTCTTGTACGGCAGTAAATGTGAGGGACAGCGAAACTTTGAGTGATAAAAGTTGTTAATATCTTTTAACGACTAAATTCATTTGTTTAATGGCGTTATTATGCTTGAATCTAAACATGTTTAACAATTAAAATCTTTTAGAAAGGAAAAATACATTGTTTTTAAGACACATTGCTACAGGCCTAAGGTCTAAGACAGTGACCGAATTGATGTTTTGGGTACAAATATGCATATTTGTAATATAAAAACAAGGGTAGTAAGGGTAGATAAAAAAAACATTGGTGGTATAACAATACTTTTAATTAGTTTTTAGTTTTTTATCATACCTTTGGGACTTAAATTCTATCTGTTTGTGAGAATGACCCATAAACCTTTGTTTCATTTCAGGAATCTCTGTTCTTCCTGCAGGACAGGTCATTTGATGAAATATTCTGGATCATACTGGATGCACAGTAAGTAGCCTATGCATTTATACATCTATCATTAGAGTATTTCGTGTGCTTACTTTCACAGGGTGTCCACCAACCTGAAAAAACCAGGAATTATGCATGATTTTTTGAACCAGGGAAAAACCGGGGGTTGTGCGTGAATTTTGGTATTTTGGCTTGACCGGAATTATATCATTTTGAAAACTTGGAATAAACCAACGTTTTATAAATATTTGGGTTTTTGGAAACACAAAACATTACAAATAAAGTAGAGCTTGATAATTCATATTTTGATATTCTGAACTATTCTATATTGTAAGCCTACTGTATTAAAAAAATATTACCTATTTACAACATTTATACTTTCCAGGAGACAACTTGGCATTCACTTTCCATCGTTCTGTTCCGCTCATGCCCGCACCGTGCTGTTTGTGTCATGATATTCAAAAAATGTTATGATTTTAGTTAAACATTACATGATTGTAGTAATAAAACAAGTAATTAGTGCTAAAAACAATCTTAAAAAGATGAGTAAACTGCTTGGAATTGTCTAAGCTAAATCTAAAAATAACTTCAAAATGTGATACTGCAAACATAGGTACGTAAGTTATAGACAGAAGAGACAAAAAACAATTAAAGAGCAAAGTCAATTTCCCAAGTTTTGTCATATAACAACCGAAAATAATATTGTGAGGCAAGTGGGAAAAATTACTCAGTTGTAACAATCGTCTTTTGACAGGATTTTTCAATAAACTGTTAAAGTGGTAAAGTAATTACTGTGGAAGAACTGATTGACTGTAGTTTCCTTGCTGGAAGTTTCTTCCTAACCCAAAAATAAAAATAATCTTCTCTTGATTCTATTATTGTAGTTCCTCTACCTTTGTTGTTATAAAACCAATTCACTTGAATAAAACTAACAGCTGTTTAGATATTTGGATTCTATAGTTAAATGCAGAATAAAACTATGTAAGTTTCACATGAAAAATACAATTCTACCTCTGTAGGGAAGCATTTAAAAGAGCAAGATTTTCACCGGTTGCGTAATGGCTTCAGGTCCACATAGTGGCGTCACAGGGAGGGGGGAGCGGGACCATGTCTCTGTATTCTATGTTCAGTATGCATGTCTCTGTCTCTGTATTCTATACCCCCGATGTCGAACTATAGAGATTATATTGGCCATTTACACACTGGGATTATTTAAAATTCAAGATATAAACAAAACAATAAACTACATCTCTTCTGTGCTTTCTTTGTCTCCTTAATGTATAAAACAGTTGTAATATTTAACTGATTTTCACTTTGCATGTTAGAAAAACATGTAAATTAATGGGATAGTTAAAGTATTGAGTTTTTGCGTGCATGAAAACAATAAGAAGGCTCTAGTTTTTACCTTGGCAAGCCTGTCATCCGCCGCTGTCGAAATGTCAGATCTACATGACCTGTGTTGAAGTAGGCAGTGTCGATCTAACTGTATTTATTTATTGAATTACATGTCAGTACATCATAATAACTTATCATATAGTGATAAACTTAGTCTGATTTAGTGTATTGTTATATATTACAGTAACCAATCATACGCTGAACTGCACGATTAGGCCATACATTACTGGGTAGTGGCAACAAATTGGGGACGAAACACATAATATACAAGTACTCGCTACTTGCATATACAAAACTTCCCTAATGGTAACTCTAATTTACTAATTTTATGTTCTCTCGACAGTCCAGCCTTTTCCTAAAACCGGCCTCCTGGCCGGCTGTTTAAGTTGAATTATTGAGGTTTCACTGAATTTCCTTTAATGCATTTACCCCTTTTCTAAAGCTTAGTTTTTTTCTTCTAGGTGCTTGTTGTGACTTGGTGGCGCGTGTGTTTATCAAAAGATAACATTTCTACACTGTCTTCGAGAAGATAACGGTGCACCATTTTGTCTGTATGAATAGTATAGTTTTTACTTATTTTGTAATCAAGTGATTAATCCTTTGATTTTACAAAAATGTCAGACCACAGTAGTTATCCTCCTAGAAAAAAGGCACATTATTCACCGTGCCCTGAAGGAAAACTTGATAGCTCTAATGGAGAAGGGAACTCTGAGTATCGAAAAAGTAATAATTTGTCGGACGGTAGCTTTCCAGACCTACATACACAATCAAGACGTAGCTCTGAAATGTCCTTTCAGTTGTCTGGTTCATCTCCCTCACCTCGCCCATCTTCCTCGTCTCGGGGATCTGCTTCTGTTCCCAAGAATGCAACAAGAGACAAAATTGAAGAAATTTGTGATAAAGAAAAACCAAAAGAATTATCCAAGCCTAGTAGTGAAGAAGGTTATTCCTACACCTCAGACGAAAACAACGACTCAGAAAGTCACAAGAGTTTTGGAAAACGTTCTAATTCTTCAGATGGTGCTACAGGTTGTGATTATAAAAATACCGACGGAAACTTGAATGAAAATCGGGAACTTGATATGTCTGATGAAAATGTAATTGAAATGTTCCCAAATCGTCACGAGTTTGATCTCCTTGATGATCTTGAAGAAAGTGAGCAGGAAGATGAGGCATGTTCTCAATCACACTCTGAATCGAGTGATTATGAAACAGTAGAAGAAGATGAAGGACCAACAATAGACGATGTGGATGCCATGCTTGAAGAAGGATTACCCGAAAAGTTCAAAGATACTGGAAGGAAAGAACCCAAAGTCAGATTGAAACGCAAAGTTCAATTAGAGGAAATTGCTCACAACCATTTTGATTTACTTCCTGAAGGCTGGATCAAAATAGTGCACAGCAGTGGCATGCCAGTGTACTTGGAACAAAAGACAAGAGTGTGCACCATGACTCGACCATATTATTTAGGACCTGGAAGTACACGTAATCATAAAATACCTCTCAGTGCCATTCCCTGCCTGCAGTACAGAAGAGCATTGGAAGAAGAAAAGAAAATAAAAGAAGAGAAAGAAGGACAACTCAAAGTAGAGGAAGAGAACAAACAGAAAGAGGAGAAAGGAGACAAAGAAAAAAACAGAGAGCAAACTCAAAATAAGCCTCAAGAAATTCAATTATTCACGGCTAAAATAGAAACCTCTGAAGAAAACGAAGCCAAGCAGTCCCTTGAGGCTTTGGATCTCCGTGAATATTGCAAAAATCTTTTTATTTTCAAAACTACTACTACGATGCCTTTTAAATCATGGGCTGACAGAAGAAAGTATGCAAGGATGACAAAAGATTTAAAGAAAAGACAAAGGCCTACCCTACCAGGTGGTACTAAATTATTAAAGTTTCCAACACAAAATATGGATGGTACCAATTCTAGGTCTAAAGGGGAATGGATTATAAATCCTAATGGGAAGAGTTATGTTTGCATTCTACACGAATACGTTCAGCACGCATTGAAGAAACATCCTAAATACCAATTCAAAGAACTGCAAAATCCTGCCACACCCTATTCTGCTACAGTTTTCATTGACGACATGCAGTACAGCGTTGGAGTGGGTGCGAGTAAGAAACAAGCTAAAGTGGAAGCAGCCAAAGCAGCATTGGAAGTTCTCATTCCTGAAATGAAGGATAAGATAGAACGCGATGGACAGTTTGGAATGCGGTCAGGAATCGCTCAGAGATCCCAGAGCAACGACGTATCTATATTCGATGAAATAAGAGTTGAGGATCCGAGAGTGGCTGAGTTTTGTGCCAAGACTACAGAACCTCCTCCCTATGCTATTCTTCTCACATGTCTGTCACGAAACTTGGGTTTGGGTGAGGTCAAAAGTCACTATGAAATGAACTCGAAGAAACATAAAGAAGATGAATACACGATGACAGTGGGCGAACATAAAGCGACAGTTGTGTGCAAAAATAAACGAGATGGTAAACAACGTGCAGCACAAGCTATCTTGCAACTTTTGCATCCAAACATCAAGCACTGGGGCTCTCTCCTCAGAATGTATGGGAACAAGTCCATCAAAAGTGTAAAAGAAAAGAAACAAGAGGAGCAAGAGATCACAAGACTTCAAAGCAAAGCTTCACTTAATCAACCAAACTTTGCCATTCTTGAAAAACTTCGTTCAGAAATGTTGAAACTAAAAGAAAAGAAAGATGCTATGAAAGCAAAAGGAAAATTTACCCCGCCTGAAAATGTCGTACTCCCATCACTTTCATCGGCAGATCTGAATAAAATCAACACCTCATAATCAACATCTACTGATCGTTAAAAAGTAGTGAGGAACAATGTGTTATCAAGGACTTCACCATTACAGAACTCCATTACCAATACCAACATGTAATGCTTTAGGTTTATCTATCTATGACTTAACTCCTCAGATAAAATTATGACCATGTTCTTAAAGTTGACAGATTTTGTTAAACAAAATATGTGACATTTTCATTTAGGTATTCATTGACATTTTATTACGTTAATTTTGTTAATTGCGTTAATTACATTGTTAATTACATAATTTGTTAATCAGCAAGTAATTTTTTACAATGTTTATCCACACTACACATATACAGGGTGGCTGAAAAGTAACTTACACCCCCCCTTAACTTTTCAACCATTTGATATATTTGAAATCTGTTTGCGGCAAACTTATTAGATATGAGGGACTACAAAAATTATATTCGATTTTGAAAATTTTGCCCGTGGGGGTAGGGGGTAGCTCAAAATTGTCAAATAACAAGTATAGTCGGGTTTGGTATCATTTTACAGGTCTTGGCGAAACATAACAATTAACATAAAGAAAATAGAAATCGGGCCATTAATAACAAAATGGCTGTTCAAAACTACTTTTTTAATAACTTTTTTGATAATTTTTAGCTGCCATTTTGTTATTAATGGTCCGATTTCTATTTTCTTTATGTTAATTGTTTTATGTTTCGTCAAGACCTGTAAAATGATACCAAACTCGACTATACTTGCTATTCGAAAATTTTGAGCTACCCCCTACCACGGCTACCCCTAAGGGCAAAATTCTCAAAACTGACCAGAATTATTGTAGCCCCTCATATCTGAGAAGGTTGCCGCAAACAGATTTAAAATTTCTCAAATGGTTGAAAAGTTAAGTTACTTTTCAGCCACCCTGTATAAGTAGGTGTTTATCTGGTAGTTTCAAATGGTGTCTTGGGATTTAAAAGTAATATTTATATCCGGTGTTACAGATGTGATCAATGTTTTTGCTCAATATTCATAACAATTTGACTGCACCATTAACAATTTTCGACTGTTTAAAAATTGGTTTGCTTTAAGATTACCAGGGGGGGGGGGAAGCTATTCTAGATTTATAATTAGAAACTTTTTTTAAATTTTAAAACTCTTGCAGTTTCAGAGACAAACCCCCAAAATTCAATTCTAAATCTAGTTTTAAATAGTAGTTATATTAGATTTAATGATCTTATAATATAGTTCTATTTATAATTAATTGTTATAGTTAGTTTAAGTAAATTTAATTGTTAAAGTTAATCTTATTATCCATAATCTTAGTTTTCTTAATAGTGGTCTGCAGCAGATAGACCCAAGAGACTAATAAATAATTCCATTTAATTTTTTATAGGAATTTTATCTGTGGACTAGACCTTTATTTGGTTTTTAATGAAATTATGAAAGTATTATACATTTTGCTAGTATAAGTAATAAAATTCAAGTGTTTTCAAGAAAGTATGGATCTTATTTTACCCAACAACACAGAGGCTATTCTTTAAAACTTGCCAGCTTATTTAAAAACTAACATATATGAAATCTTATAAAATAACTTTGTAAATACATATAATGAAAATAAATTTTGTATAATTGTATTTTGATGAATAAAACATTAAATTTGTCCAATGCTTGTGAAAGCACATATAATTCTAATTTGTTTGACTAATAATATTGTACAAGTTTATACAAAATAACAATGCCTTGTTTTTTTATGCTTATGGGTGTTTGCAATACAGTTATTGATGTTAACTTGGGTAGTGGTACGATAGCTTATATCATATTTGTGGTTAATTTAACCCACATTTAAAAATTTCTTCATAATTTGGTGCCTCAATGTCTTATATTATTATTGGTTTCAATTTTAATATTGTGTTAAAATGAAATACATATTTCTCAATGTGGCTTTTTAAAATAATGAACTGATGGAATCAGAATGACTATTCTCAAATGAGCAATTTTTTTTAATTTAACCTAAGTTAACATAACGTAATGTCTGATTTCGCAGTAATAGTCTGAGTAACAAATTGAAATACATTGCAGAGTGTTTTATTTACTAAAATATTTGCAAGACATCTATTTTACAATAACACAATGCCAATAAACTGACTTTTGTCCAATGACAGGGTTCTGTTTTTTTTTAAGGAAACTTAAGTATATTTAGATTATTTAATATATATAGTATAAATTTACCAATAGCTTAGCGATCATGGAGCGAGCGGAAGGGTCTGGAGGGTAAAATTATTGGAGAACATTTCTATTATTACTGTATTGGATATGAAAATAAAATAAAATTTTTTTAAACCGGTTCCACCCCATATCGATCACTGGATATCATCAACAGCACCGATTCACCGTGAGTGAAGTAGGCACAGCAAAGCCCTTGAGTCAAGGCCGCTGTTGGTGAGTTGCGGTCCAAATCTCATTTTGCGTATGAGTTGCGGCCCAGGCTGAAAAAAGTTTTGTACGAGTTGCGGCCCGAGTATAAACAGGTTGATTGCAGCCAAGGATATAGTTGGTTTAATGGTACATAAAATAATCGTACGTTATTTAAGAAATCTGTTTATTGTGTTAGTTCGGTTTGCACTCCACGTTGTTATAGGTTTGTCATTGTCCATAAGTTTATAGTGCTGGCAAAAATTTAAAACTAACTGTTTTCAGAAAATTAAGAGAAGCACATTCACTAGCTACACATTTCAGTGCCAAAGAGTATGTTTTCTACATTTTGTCAGGCAGCAAGAAAAATGTCAATGGTACAAACGTTTCATTTACCTTGAAACTTAAATCCCTCATAAACGAGCGGTTTTAACTTCTCACTAATAATAAACTCCATAAGAATAGATTTAGAACATTGATCCAGCACAGCAGTGGAGGAACTGATAGACATATACATTCCTGTATTTTGTATACCTGTTTATACTTGGGACATCATACGTTGGTCGGGCCGCAACTCACCTGTCTCTCTTGGATAGATTAGTGTCCCGGCCGCAACTCACCTTTAGCCGTCAAGGCTCCTTGGCGAGAGTGTACTTTGTCTCCTCATTTTCAAACCTCGGGGTTTTGTCCTATAGATACTTTGTGTACGAGAATGTACATCGCTGACCTAGAATATTCATCATTGGGTAGTCTATCTATAAAATGTGTTTCCCAGTTCTTTCAATAGTTATTGGGCAAAAGTTGTAAAAGAGAATTCTTATCTTTGTGACATTGTCTCTGATGTTGGAATTTGGAAATCTAGATTTGACCATGGGCGCCCGCAGTATTTAGAACAGGGGGGTGCAATGGATAACAAACATAGGGGATCTAGGTGCCCTCCCCCAGAAAATTGTTGAAAATATGGTGTTTTATAATAGTTACATTATTTGTAATCTAATAGAAGCTATGGCCATTATGTGATGTTCTTTTATAAATGTCCAATTAAAATATTAATTACTGGGCATTCCGGTTTCACAATTTTACCCCTAATTTTTGGACTTTACGAATGTGTTTAAATTATAAATTATTTCATTATGAAACAAAATCAGCAGCTCAAATTTAACCTGTATCCTAATTCCAAGAATGAAGGCCTACAATTTTATGCATGCAATAGATAGACAAACTAAGTCCATACAATTTCAAGGGTGAGTTATCAATAGAAAATTAAGTTTTTCTCAAATTGTACTCCAGTTTACATAACAAATAAACAAAAGTAGTTACTAATGATACAGAAGAAAAAAAAAACAGTTTATACATGATTTTTAAGCCCAAATGTTATGTTCCAAGAAGTAAAATACCGTAACCATATTAATTTGACAAAATCACACTCATAATAATTAGACTAGATTCAATGATTTTATCCAAGCCACTAAAAGGTGGATTCTCAGAATTTCACAAAGTGCAATTTAAAACTTGTCAAATGACACTTTTGCAAACATTGTTAATGATGTACGACAAATTATTCCTGGAACATCAGGAGTTGGTATGTTAGTTAGCTGATCAATTAAGCTCATTTCAACCTTCATGCAGATATTTGCTTTTGGGAGAAAATTGTTTGAGTTGATTGTTTTTGGCATGCTTGTTTGGGATTGCTTGTTTTTGTTTTGTAGTGGACTTCTATTAAAAGGTTAAAAGGGATGATGCAATTTAATAAAAGATCTATATTCTGAATTTATTACAGTTTTTATGAAACAGCATACTTACTTATTGTAATTAGTAGGTATTGCACTTGCTGCTTGTATTGACTTACAATCAAATTTTCACTGGACTAAGGACAAATATAATGAATGTTTTAAATAGCTGTAAAATTTATTGTATGCAAAATAAATGCATATGCTATAACTGTTGTGACAATACTATTGACTCATTATTATTTATTTAGAAATTTGATAAAATTCTTTACCACGAAATACTATTAATGACTGTAGCACAGGAATAATATGTGGCTGGGTAGCCGAGTGGTTATAGTGCTCGCCTCGCCTAACAATCAAAAGGTCACCGTTTCTATATTGAGAAAAGCCACTAGCTTTTTGATGGTTCGAAACTGTGTTACATCCCGCAACCTCCGAATTTCAGAGTGACCCTTATAATCCTTGGTTCCTATACCTGCGATAAGACTTTCCGCGAGGGCGAAGCCCCGCCTCCCTTACACCACACCCCACCACCACCCCTTCTTAACCACTGCCTGATACCATTGTCATACACCCCTTCATTCATAAGTTAAGCATTTTAGAAGTGTATAGTCAATTCCTTATTCCAATATACTGACTGAAGAGGACAAAGTCCTAAAACAGCCTCAGGCCAGTAGGGTTTCAGCCCACTGAACTGAAACATTACGAAGAAGAACAAAATATTGGTATCTATAGTATAAAAGCAGAGGATGTTGGTTTTTTTGTATATTTGATTAGCAGTGATAAACTCAGACACCGCTATACCGATGGAACCGTAACTTGATACATATACATGAAGACTTTCATCGAGTAGGCTTATATACCATCAATTTTGTGATAACTTTCAGGACTTGGCCCTGGAACCATGTTAAAGGTACAGATGTCAGTGACTTTGAAAGAATTTTAGTTATATTTAATGACTGTCCCAGCGCCTTATTGATTGTCCTCGGGATAGCAGAAATTAATGGAGAACTGTTGACGTTGAAGTGAAACGAAGACTCTTGGCATTTATCCCCCGCAATTTCGTGTAGGTCTTAATGTATTCCTAAAAACCATTAAAACTGAACACTTCTTAGGACTTTACAGGTCCCCTCATAGTATTCGAGTGTCACCCTCTTTAATGTCGTTGGTGATAGGACATGGGACATATATATTTGAACAATAAAACAACAATAAACAATAATATTATAGATATTTTTTTTATAAAGTATATCATATTATCATTCACCCGTGGCTTCGCTTGCATTAAATTACAGCTTGGTCTTTTAAATTCCGCTTCAAGCTGACAGCAATGCATAAAATCTGGAATTCGATTTCGTCGTTAATTGTTTAATGGTA